TCTATCTATCTATCTATCTATCTATCTATCTATCTATCTATCTATCTATCTATCTATCTATCTATCTATCTATCTATCTATCTATCTATATCTTCCTCAACTTATGACCACAGTTGAGCCAAACAAGACAGTTGTTAAGAAAGTATTGCCCCATTTTATGACCCTTCTTTCTACAGTGGTTAAGCGAATCACTGCGGTTGTTCAGTGAATCACACGGTCGTTGAGTGAATCAGGTTTCTCCATGGACTTGGCTCACTACAAGGTCGCAAAAGGGGTTCACATGAACCCAGGCTCCTGCAACTGTCGTAAATAAGAGTCAACTGCCATTTTTTCCAAGGTGACTGTAACTTGGAATGGTCGCTAAACGAACTATTTAGTTATAAGTCGAGGACTACGGTCCCTGTATAGATTTCAATGGAGCTAAGAACCAGAGTGCTGGACTGAGTGCAAAGGATTGAAACTATGGGGAGTCCTCGACGTACGACCAGAATTGGCCCATGAATTTCCATGGCGATGCCAGGCCAGATTGTTAAGGGAGCCCGGCCTGGTTTTACCACTTCTTTGGGCCACAGGTTGTAAAATGAATCACTGCAATTATTAAGTGAAGCCTGTGGTCATTAAGCGAATCCAGTTTCCCCCGCCCCAGACTTGGTTTGCGAGAAGCTGGCAGGAAAGGAAAATACAAGCTGGAAATTGGATCACATGACCGTGGAGATGTTGCGACGGTCGTAAGTGCGAGGACCTGTTATAAGTCACTTCCCCCCAGTACAGGTAGTCCTCGACTTACAACAGTTCATTTAGTGACGGTTTGAGGTTACAGTGGCCCCAAAAACAGTGATTTAGGACTATTTTTCATACTTACGACCGATGCGATCTAAATTCAGATACTTGGCAACTGACTCGCCTTTATGACGGTCGCAGCCCGAAGTCCTGGGGGGAGGGGTGTCACGCGATCCCCTTTTGGCGACCTCCCATCAAACAAAAACAACGAGGAGGCCCGTATTCTCTTCACAACCGGGCGATTCACTTAACAACCGCAGGGGTTCACTTAACGACGGTGGCCCAGAAAAATGGGGCGAAGCTCTCTTTTGAAAGGGACATCAATGCGGGGCCTCCATGGCGGCCAATGGAGGTCGAGGACTGCCTGTAATCTGGTCGCTAAATGAATCGCCGTGAAGCTGAGGACAGCCTGTAAGCTTGCTTGAAACCAGCTAATAAACTGGATAATAAACGTTGGGATTCATAGCCAGAAATTTAAAAATTTAATTTTTTAATTAAAAAAAAAAAAACAGAAACCAGTTTCGCCCGTGGAAAGTTGCACAAAGAGATCTTGTTACTCAAGAAGGGACTTTTTAAATCATGGTGCAACGCTAAATTGCCTTCACACCCATGCCCCGAGGCTTCTTCCCGCCTCCCTAAATCCTCCGTAGCTTAGCTCCTCATCCGAGGAGCTGGGCTGCTTTGATGCTGTCTTGATCCTGTCATTTCATGGGATTGTCTTAGTTGGAAAAAAAAAGATTCAAAAGTTTATAGAAGTTTTTTTTTTTAAGCTTGGCCCCTTTAAGATGGGTGGACTTCAACTCCCAGAATTCCCCAGCCAGCATGGGAGGTAGTGACCTCAGCCATTTAAGATGGTGGACTTCAACTCCCAGAATTCCNTTAGGCTGACTTTGGGCCAATCACCAGGAGACTGGGAGTTCTAGTCCCACTTTAGGCATGAAAGCCAGTTGGCTGACTTTGGCCCAATCTCCAGGAGACTGGGAGTTCTAGTTCCACATTAGGCAGGAAAGCCAGCTGGGTGACTTTGGATCAATCACCAGGAGAAGGTGAGTTCTAGTCCCGCCTCAGACACGAAAGTCAGCTGGGGAACTTTAGGCCAATCGCCAGGAGAAGGTGACTTCTAGTCCTGCCTTAGACACGAATACGATCTGGATAATTTGCTTTTCATTGAAGGATTAACAATATCCCACTTCAGTGTTTCTCAACCTTCGCCATTTTGACTGGTACAGACTTCAACTCCCAGAATTCCTCATTCTGGCTGAGGAATTCTGGGAGTTGAAGTCCACTCATCTTAAAGCTACCAAGCTCAGAGAAACTGTCCCATATTATTATTATTATTTGTTTTCTCTCCACTGTGGTCGTAAGTTGAGGACTACCTATAAACCAATTTTTTTTTCTTTTAAAAAGAAAAAAAAAAGGCCGATGAGCTCAGCCTTTAAAAGCTCGGTCAGAAACGCCTACAAAATTATAGACACACAATATTCAAACGCCGAGCCAAAATTAATCAAAGAAATAGATATAAAATACGTTATTGGCTTGATTATTATGAATCAGTTACGGCATCGTTAGGAAACTTGACATTGACATCACAGGGAGTTTTCCCTTATGCCCAAGGCGTTTCACAGCTAAAACACCCCCAATACAGATCGGCCTCGACTTACGACCACAATGGAACCCCATATTTCCGTCGCTAAGTGAAACAGTCGTTAAATGGGGTTTGCCCCATTTTACGACCTTCCTTGCCAGACGTTAAGCGAATCATTGAGGCGTGTTTCCCATCCCTGCCAGGAAAACTATCTTTAAAAACAAAAAGATCTGCGTTTTTGCCAATTGCAAATTGAGGCCTTGGTTCTCTTGGGATCCTGATGTAATTGAAGGCAAGAATTAATTGTTCTACCGGTCTCTCTCGTTGGGCCAGATCTTATTGTTCCATAATCTGGTCGTTCGGAGACACGTCCCCGTTTAACACCGCTGGATGTCAGGGGAAGGGAGTTTAGAGCAGGCGGAACGAGGCAGATTTCCTTCGGAGTGACTTCCAATCAATCAATCAATCAATCAATCTATCTATCAATCTATCTATCTNGATAGATAGATAGATAGATAGATAGATAGATAGATAGATAGATAGATAGATAGATAGATAGATAGATAGATAAAAACAAATGAAAAACTCAAAGATCGGATTCCCTGGGCCACTGTTTTTTCCCCCCCTCCTGCCGTCAAGTTTTCTATATTTCTAAATTTCCCCGAAAGCTACTGAGCCAATGGAGCAAGGGGAGGGTCAGAGAGGAGCCCTTGGCTCTCCGTGCCATCCTTGGCTGGGTACGCTGCTCTAAGTTGGCAAACTTCGGGGACGTTTGTGTCAAAGGTGGAAGTTTTTGTTTTTGTTTTTAAAATTAAAAACAGGCCTTTTGTAACCCCTGTACAGAATTCCTCAGGGCTGCGGGGGGATGTTTGAGACCATTATTCCGGGTGGATTTGGGTTTTTTTTTGGAGGGAAAATAAAAATATTTGGGAAACGGTATCCACGCGGATTCTCCCCCCGGGAGAACTCACATAAATGTTCCTCAATTCGTTGACCATGAATCGGATTTCGGCATATTCCGCTTCGTCGATCTCGTGGACCAGCTGGCGGTAATCGCCCTGTTAAGCGAACGGAGAAGGAACAAGCCACGTTTTGAGCCGTTAACCGTGTTTGAATGCCGATCCCGGACGGCCCAGATTTGAATGGGAAAGGGGGGGGGGGGGGACTTACCACGTGGGGACTTTTGGCCGCTTTAGAAACTGCGTCGCCCCGTTCAGAATAATACCTAAGAAAGGACGAGAAACCGACTTTGATCTCAGGGAGTGAAGCACACAAACACACCCTGTCACCGGGAGAGAAAGCGGGGTGGGAGTCCTGGGTTCGAATCCTCCCCCCCCCCCAACCTTGAAAGCTTTCTCAGAGGAGTCCCACCTGGTCTCTTCCTGTCACCCCCAACCTACCTCGCAGGGCTGTTGTGGGGAACGGGCTAGAAAACAAGAGTTGGCGATTTCTAGTCCCGCTTAGTTAGGCGTGAAATCCAGCTGGGAGACTTTGGGCCAATCACCAGGACATGGGAGAGTTCTAGTCCTGCCTTAGGCAGGGAAGCCCTTTGGGTGACTGGGCCAATCACCGGGAGACTGGGAGTTCTAGTCCCACTTTAGTCATGAAATCCAGCTGGGTGACTGGGCCAATCNTCCTTCCCCTGGAGTGGGGTTTGAATGGAGATTTTGCAGTATCCTTCCCCTGGGGTGGGGTGGGAATGGGAATTTTGCAGTATCCTTCCCCTGAAGAAGGATGGGAAGGGAGAAATTGCAGTATCCTTCCCCTGGAGTGGGGAGGGAATGAAGTTTTTGCAGTATCCTTCCCCTCCAATGCCCACCAAGCCCCACCACGCCGGTAGTAAAAAAAAATTGAATTCCACCATTGCTTCTGGTTCTTCGGCGAACAGGTGGGGCCTCCCCCTCTTCTCTGTGGCAGCCCCTCCAATATTGGAAGGCTGCTCTCATGTCGTTCGAAGGAGGGCGTACAGAAATAACTAGTGTCGGAAGGGACCCTGGAGGTCCTCTAGTCCACCCCACCCACCCCTCTTCAAGCCGGAGCTCCCATCCCATTCGAGGCCCATGGCTGCCCCCCCCACCTCCTGTTTCACCCCCTTTCGTGATCTTTCCAGGGTCATGTGGACGGATTGGGAATCTTCCCGCCACATTTGTCAGTCTCTCCTGGAGGCCAAAGTCTACTCCCGATTGGTCGACTTCGACAGCCACCTGGACGACATCCGGCAAGACTGGACCAATCAGCAGCTGAACGCGGAGATCGCCCAATTAGTGTCCGTCGCCAATGGCAGCGCGTGAAGGAGTCCACGCCCGCTTGTCAAAGGATCTGAACTCTTGGTTCCCTAGCCTTTAGGAGCATCCGGGATGCCAGACTAGCCAGGATAGAAGCCGGGATCACGTGATTTTGAGACTCCGCCCCTTTTAACGGCAAGGCAGCCATCTTGATTAGCTCTTCCCGCCACCACAGACGCCTCTCTTGAAAAGGATGAATTTGCGTTGAAATTTGGTGGGTTTTTTTCTTGGTTAAAAAAGCAGGAATTTCTCTCTCCCCCCCCCCATTTTATCCAAATACTGGTAGTCCTCGACTTACGACCACAATCGAGCCCCAAATCTCTTCTTCGGTGTGACGTTTCTCGCGTTTTGCCCCGTTTTACGATCTTTCTTGCCGCCGCCGCGAAGCGAATCACTGCGGTTGATCAGTTCGTAGCCCGGTCGTTAACCGAATCTGGCTTCCCCTCCCCCACTTTGACTTTGCTCGTCGGAAAGTCGTGAAAGGGGATCCCCCGGAACACCGTGACGGTCGTAAGTATGAGTCAGTTGCCGTGCATCCACATTTTGATGCTGTGAGCCCGGCCATGCGGCCAATGTTATACACAAAAAAAACCATCAATTACTTTTTCCGGTGCTGCGATAACTCTGAACCGTCACTAAACAAACCACCGTAAGTCGAGGACTACCTGTGATTTGAGAAGATTGACTCCACTTTACGGCGTTCAGATTTTATATTTGTAAAATATAAATATATCAGCCAGCGGGAAAAACCCGACCGCGTTTCTTAGTTTAAGGACCCGAATTAAACGTTCCACTCGGTGTGTTTGAAAGAGATCTGTTTATTTCCAGAGGATCGAGTGGATCAGAAAAGGAAAAAGGATCCGGGAGGAGACCCCCTTCGCTCTGCTCCTGATCGCTGGCTGAACCGTTCAATAGATCATCCCTTTGTTTTCATCCCGGGGTTTCTTAATCTTGTCGAAATTCTTCAGGACGCTGTCGTAGATCACAGCCTAGGAAATAGAGAGGAGGGGGGGTTAGGGGGGTCTCGGACCGCAGTCACAAAGCGAGTTCGAAAATTAAGAGAAAAACCTAAAGGAAGGGATAAGGAGCTTTTTTTTCCCCAAGAGGCAACTGGCAAATAAAAAATATAAATAAAGAGATGATAGATAAACATAGATAGCTGATAGAGATGTTAGAGATAGATGATAAGATATAGATGAGATATGGATAGAGATGAGAGGTGATTGGTGATTGATAGATAGATGGATGAGAGATAAATAGATGATTGATAGTTATAGTTCAATGATAAGAGATTGATAATAGAGATAGAGGATAGATTGATGAGAATGATATAGTTGATAGAGATAAGAGATAGATACATACATATATAGAGATGATAGATGATATAAATCGATTGATGATAAACAGATGATAGAGATTGATATACATGAGAGATAATGATATAGAGAGATAAGGTGATAGATATATAGAGAGATGACAGATTGATGATAAACAGGTGATATAGATGATAAAGATAGATGATAGACATAGTTGATAGATGAGACAATGATAGATGATAAAGGTGATAGCTAGATAGCTAGATAGGTAGATAGATGATAGATAGATGATAGATAAGATAGATACATATAGAGATGATATATAGATGATAGATAGGTCGATTGATGATAAATATATAGGTGGTAGAGATTTATAGATATAGATGAGATAGATAATGATACAGAGAGATGATAAGAGGTGATAGATGATAGATAGATAGATAGATAGATAGATAGATAGATAGATAGATAGATAGATAGATAGAGATAAAAGATGACAGAT